CTGAGGCGTGTCTGTCTCAGAGCTGAGTGAAACCACAGAGATTGTCGGGTCATCGCCAAGGCTTCCCCGAAGTGCTCTAACCTCCTACAGAAGTCGCAGGGTTCAGCTTTTACACCTGTTCAAGGAGTACCTTGAACATTGCAAATCTATAAACAACAGTATCGTGTCTACCAACTTAACCATGTTACTGGGGAGATCACTAGTCCCATAAACCAAAATTGGTAGTGTTAAACCCTCAGGAGGAAGAGGGACAGTCATGCATGTTTCTCATCCATGAGTCAATGCCATCACCCTGTCTACATCGACATATATGTGAGGTGTTGTTTATGAGTGTCGCTAAGATAGAAGCGAGTGAACAGTCCCTCTAGATAAAAAGCCTCGAGGTACAAAGTGTCCCTGAATTAACTGCCACTCTGTGTGATTCTCACGTTTCTGCGTCCAAACGCATGTCGTCTTAACACCCTGGGAACTGAAAGTACTTCAGCTTGGCGTTAGGTAACATTTAGCAAGTTTATTTCCACTGCACAGGACTGGCTTGTGTCCAGTCCCCTTCCACGCTGAACGTGATGACCAACAGGGACACGTTTTGCAAACGGTGCCCAGGGACGGCAGACGTGTTGTTCGATGAACCTGGACTCTCAAGGTTGACGATTTTGAGTCCCAGGAAGGTTCTTGTTCTTGATGCTGAATTTCGATTACTCCATTGAAATATATAGCTGGGTAGATTATCAACAATAGTGTGCGATAATAGTTATGTTATAATAATCAATAGCCTCCCTTCTATACCCTTGATAATCATCTCACTTAAGTGGTCAGTGTGCTGTTTGTCATGAGATGGTACTCCACGTTCTAACAGAGTCCTGAAAAGCAAATAACACCAGTGAAATTTTCAGCGAATTTCCAGAGAGCTTTTCTAAACGGAGGCTTGTGTACAGACCCCTGGCAGCTGAAACAGCTATTGTTCACAGCCCGCTAAGGAAGATAATGGCAGAGGCATTCGACTGCGACACAGATAATGAGCACGACCTTCAGACGTCAATAAGGTCTAGGATTTCGCTCATTGATCTTTTAAGTGCATATTAAAATTAAGTTAAAGTGGATCCAAAAGCGAGTTCCTAGCCAAACGCAGAATGTCTTGTGCCCGTTGTTATGTAAGCCTGTAACGTCACCTGGGATTAAAGCATGAAGATATTCCACATGCCTGTTTCATGTCCCCTGCACACCGAGAGTGCGGGAGTCGCGATCTGGGGTCAAATCTAGGCCACCAGTTCACTGTTCCCCGTTTACTTAAAGATCAGTAACCTTTTTGACAGGGTAATAAATTCCTGTAAAGGCTGCAGAGGCAGACGTGGTACACGGTGCAGCTCTCAGGCAGACGTGGTACACGGTGCAGCTCTCAGGCAGACGTGGTACACGGTGCAGCTCTCAGGCAGACGTGGTACA